AAACTCAAAACTACTGACTGTTTAAATGTTGGTTTTAAAAACGTGGGAGTGGAGCTCCGCTTATGTGCATACCGCCGACGCACAAAAAAAAAAAAGCGGCCGAAAAGTGGAAGCCTCGGGCTTTCAAGCAGGGAGGGGGTTTAAAACATTGGAAGTGGCTTGACACCGGAGGAGTGATCACACAGGAGAAACTGTGGCTTTAAACGGGAGAGCTGAGAAAACACCACTTTGGGACCTGGTAACAAGATACTCCGGGTTAAAGGGGTTTTGAGCTGGAAACCAGTGGCTGGGGACAGGAGGCAGATGTTGACTGTGTGAGCGTGCATATAAAATCCGTTGCTGAACTGTCACGACACCAGATCAAACGGTGCGTCTGAACGCACCCAAAACGTGCTCTTTTTTTGCTGGAGTTGATTTTCGCTTACTCTCTTCAGAAAGCCAACATTGCATAATGGTCAGTGTCCAACTAGGATCTGGTAGGCTCCGGTTCAAAAGGGGTGACTTGGACCAGTCACCCTCTCTAACTAGCCTATCTTACACAATTGTTGTTGCAAGTACAAAATGGAGGATGGAAGAACAATCTTGCAAGCTGCTTTGGGTTCCTACTGTGGAGGATTAGGGTGTAAATATCTAAATACATGAATGATCCTCTGTGGATCAGTGCGGGTTACAAGACTTACCTTGTAGCCAGTGAGGTGGTGTTCCTGAAGGAAAATCTCACCTGTTGAATTTCCAAAACTTCCAGGTGTGTGAGATTTTGCATTTCAGGTCTAGAAAGGATGGCCATTCCTTTTGGTGAGGACGAAGAAAACCCACTGTTCTTGAAGCTGTGCATACATAACCCTGAGTTAGCTAGATTAGATTTGGACTAGAGTAACCAGGCAATCTGGTTTTAAACTAAGCCCAGTCTGATTTCATATCTGACATGTATGCACTGCTCACATTTTTATATCCATTTCCCTTGTAGCATTTATATCAGTGTGACCCTGTTGTGTCTGTGTGTGCATTTTACCCAGCAACAGCGCTTGCAGACCCACAATAGAAGTACTATTTTGAAAGAAGGCTTTTGGATTGCCTAAAAAGGTAAAGGTAAAGGTTCCCTTGCTCGAAAGCCAGTCGAATCCGACTCTAGGGTTGCGGTGCTCATCTCCGTTTCAAAGCCGAAGAGCCAGCGCTGTCCGAAGACGTTTCCGTGGTCATGTGGCCGGCATGACTAAACACCAAGGCGCACGGAACGCTGTTACCTTCCCACCGAAGTGGTCCCTATTTATCTACTTGCAATTTCTTGCTTTCGAACTGCTAGGTTGGCAGGAGATTGGATTGCCTATTATATTGTAAATATATATTGCCTTCCTTGCTCAAACAAGTACTTGGAAAAGATTTAGGGCTCAACTATACATTCAAGTTTTTAACAAGGCTTTTGTTCAATGTGGGATCATTTGTTTATCTTCACAACAACCCTGGAAGGGAGGTGTAATGATTTCTTGTTTGTGTTTCTTTAAATGTTTAGTGTGACTGCAGTAATGTAAGGAGAGTGATAGAGGGAGAGACGTGTGATGTGACTGGCTGATGACTGAGAATGTGGGAGGGGAGCTGTCTATGAGGTGGTTCTGTGCTTGAGTTTTGGAGAGAGAGCATAGTCTGTGTGACTATGGGAGTTTGAGTCTATTCTGTGTGAATAAGACAAAGAGTTTAGCCTGTGTGAAGATATCTCCCGTATAAATAAAAGCTGAATGGTGGTGGCACTTCTCTAGAACATTTCACATGCTCCAAAATCAGTTCGCTCTCTGATCTGTCATTCAGAGGGTCTCCCTATCCACTGGCTGCTTTGCCTGAGTCCTGCCTCCAACATTCTAAACATTTTGCTGTTCCTCTCCCACCCATAGCCAGTCAGAACACAGAGGTTATTTGCATATGCAGCCTCATTGGCCTTTGCCTCGGAACACAGAGGTCCTTTGCATATGCGACTTGATTGGCTTTTGCCTCTAACATTCTGAACAGTTTGCTGTTCTGAGGTAAAATGTGTCCAATCTCCAGGTGAGGGCTGGAGATCCCTCAGAATTACAACTGCTTTCCAGATGGCAGAGATCAGTCCCCCTGGAGAAAATGGTGGGCTCTGTATCCTTATATGCTGCTGAGGTGGCCCCCGTATGACAGCCAATGTGATGTAGCAGTCAGGGCTTCAGAGCATGGGAGAGGCTGCAGGTGTGTGGGGGTGGAAAGCTGAAGAGTGAGGGGGAAATAAAGGTAGATTGATGGTTGGCTGGGAAGGAGATAGGGTTGCCAACTCCAGGTGGGAAATTCCTGGAGAGGTGAGGGATGGAGCCTGGAGTGTGAGGTTTCAGGAGGCGTGGGACCTCAGACAGGTACAAAGCCATAGACTCCACCCTCCAAACCAACTATTCCCTTCTGGGGAACCATCGTTGCCAATCTCCAGGTGAGGGCTGAAGATCACTCAAAATTACAACTGTTCATCAGTTCCTCTGGAGAAAATGGTGGACTCGGTATCATTATACCCTGCTGGGGTCACCACAGCAAATTGACACTGAGTGTCCAAGGCCAGGGCACCCGCCCAGAGCCTCTTTCTAGAGGTCGTTGTATTTATTTCCACAACGGGCCTTTATGAGACAGAGATTACACTGAGTATCTAAGGCTGTCAGAGTGGAGTTTGAGAGATTGTGATGCCAAGCTTTGCCAGTTATATATACAAGTTCCTTTCTTCAGCAACAGTTCGAAATAACCAGAAACCTATTTTGTTCTTTATTAAATAAATCAATTTTGGTTTAAACTTATCCCAGCAATCAGAATAGTCTTTCCTCAGGGCCACATAATCCTCCGAAGTGCCCAGACCATAGGTCTTTCTACCAAAAGAGAGAGATTTGGATTTTTAAATTCCTGGTGGCAGCAGAAACCTACCAAGTTTAGGTACACAGCGTGTGAATTAAAGGAGAAACAGTCTCCCCAATAAGCGAGGACACTTATTTTTAATGGAAGATTGTTATGAAGATAAACAAATGATTCCACAGGGAAAGATGGCCTTCTAGGTTTTTGAGTATGTGGAACTATCCTTTTACCTGCCTCCAGTAGGGTGTTGTGCCAGCCTCCTCCACAAGGCCCATAGAGTGTCATGCTAGTTAAGCAGAAGGAACTCAGCCTCAGTCTCACTCTGGCAGTTGATCCTAGTAGCATCAGATGGGCAAACTGCATGGTTTGAAAAGACATTATTAGGGTACCGTTGTTAAAGCTAAGCTACTCTGGGTCTGGCTGAAACAACTTGGGAGCCTTCTATTTGCTGCATGGAGCTCTATGGAAGGAGTGGTGCCATATAAGTTAACAAAGAACCCACACCACTGGAGCATCAATGGGACCAGTAAGAGGGTCTGATTCTGACTCAGAGCTTCCTGTGCATTGCAGTGCTTGTGCCATGATTCCTATGACTGGGACTTGAAGAGAAGCAGCCAAAAAAACCCAAAACCAAGCAAACATAAAAGTAAAACAAAACAAAAAACACAACCAATTATGTGAGAATAATTTTAAGTATTTGCAAATAGTTTAGCTCTATGATGGCTGGAAGGAACTCCCTGTTTAGGGTTACCCCCTTTTCAAGTGTGTGACCATTAGAAATCCATCAGATGAAGCTTTTCTCATCTCTGCAGCCGCATGCCAGGAAAAGCTTCACTGGTTGACTTTCTGCTTGCTGCACAACTGATCGAGATGCACAGCCTTCCGGCTGGCAGTCCTTGCCTGCGAACAATTCCAATTAGGCAGAGAAAGGCTTGGAAGCTACAGTGGTGAAGGTAGGATGGGCATATTAGTTCTCTCCAGGTCTAGCTTTCTTGCGTTTCTCTTAATTATCCAAAGTAAAGATAAAGCAATGACTAAATAAGTGTATCTGAAATCACTAACGAGGGAGACGGTTAAGTATTCTACACATCCCCCTATCGCACAAGCATGGAGATATTCAAATTGGCATCCTGAGAAAGAATATCAGCACGCATTTAAGAAGAAAACAGATTTATAGTCTTCATGGCTGCAGAGGAGAAGAAATGGAAACCCGTGCTAGTTGTATCTGATGAAAGAACAGAAATGAAACTCTGGTTTGGTCAGGGGATGTTTTTTCTTTGGCACATTTCTTTCCTCCTTCATGATTACCTACAGAGATACACAAACCACTAACAGCCAAGGACTTCAGGCTACCCAGTGAAACCTGCTGTTGGAGAGGCAGCACAGCCTGCATAGGAATTGTTCGAGGTTCTTAGAGATGTTCGGCTCACATTTGGTTTTGCTCAGCTGTTCACCAGCCTTGAGTGCTAGAGATTTATCGATGTGTGATGATCTTTTTAAAAGTCTCTTATCACCAATCCGTGCTGCACCGTTACTCCCTGCTTTCCCCCCACTCCTCTCCTTTCTACTTCTCTTATTTTGCTCTTTGTCACAATAATAGTTTTAAATAGAACCACATATACTTAATTTGTATAATTTGTTTTGAGGGGGGAAATGTGGTTTTTCCTTTGTGGATAATTTGAATTTACTGTATTTACCTGACAGGAAGGCAATTCTGAATATAAGACTGTATCCCCCCCAAAAAAAAAGTCATACAGTTAAGTAAAGTAATACAAAAAGTCTAACTTGTACATGTATTTAAAACTTTCCCCCATTTCCTGATGGCACATGTAGAAAGAAGCAACCTTTCTTCCTTTCAGGTAAACAGATTACTACAGATTACTCCCCTACTCCACCAAGGCCATTTATTCATCAGGATTTCCCAGAACAAGAGCCTTCTCTATTCAGCTTTGTATACATAGTTTGTTACTCTGTGTTTACATCTGTTTCAGACATTCTTCCTTGCAAATAAATCTGATATTTTAACAAGTCTTCCCCGAACATGGGTCCTATTTCTGGTTAATGAGCCACAAGATATTTGCTAAGGATGAACCTCAATGGCTGCTGTTCTCATTCAGAACTTGAAAATGATGCATCTCGTTCATGGATCTTCCGATGCTTAATAAGGTTTGAACTCACACTGAAACTTCTTCCACACTCATGGCACTCGTAAGGTTTCTCCCCCGTATGGACTCTGTGGTGTGTAATAAGATGTGAATTGTTACGGAAGGTTTTCCCACACTCAGCACAGACATAAGGTTTTTCCCCTGTGTGGACTCTCTGGTGGCCAACGAGCACTGAGCTGTAAGAAAAGCTTTTCCCACACTCAGGGCACTTGTAAGGTTTTTCTCCTGTGTGGATCCTCTGATGTGTAACCAAGTGTGAATTTGTATTGAATTTCTTCCCACAGTCACTGCATTTATATGGTTTTTCTCCTGTATGAATTCTCTGGTGAATAATGAGATCTGCACTCCGACAGAAGTTTTTGCCACACTCTAGGCACTGATAGGGTTTTTCAGTCATGTGGATTCTCTGATGACTTAAAAGGCCTGATTTAACACTGAAGCTTTCGGGACAGTCAGGGCATTTATAAGGCTTCTCCCCCGTGTGAATTCTCTGATGCATAATAAGAGTTGAACGCCTGCCAAAGCTTTTCCAGCAATCCTGACATTTATAGGGCTTCTCACCTGTGTGGATTCTCTGGTGTG